GTGTGTTATTTGTCGTGTATGTGTGTGTGTTATTTTTTGTCGTGTGCGTGTGTGTGTGTGCGTGTGTGTGCGTGTGTGTGTGTGCGTGTGTGTGCGTGTGTTTGTGTGCGTGTGTGTGCGTGTGTGTGTGTGCGTGTGTGTGCGTGTGTGTTCATGTATGCATCGTTTAGATGACCCTGTTGACCTGTCCTTGTTATATAAATATTTACAAATAAGTTGTGCTTTGTAAAAACGCCTCGTCCACAGTCCACGACTGGATACCGCCAGATTATATTTTGCCCGTATTAAGGCATATAGCCTGTTTGCGCGCTATATTGTATATCTCATGGCCACTCGGCAATCGCCCTCGGCCAATCGGCCCCCTGGCATCTGCCCTCTATGATATTGAACTGGGAGTCTGGCCCTGGGCCCCCTGGGGCCTGGAGCAGGTCTCATAACGGAAACTATGAGCCTTACGACTATTTGCACACTGCGGTGCTCATAGACGTAAGTTTCTTACGTATTTACGTTTATATTCAGTGCGTTAACGTCAAAACGTAGTACTTCTACGCTGTATATGGGTTACGTACTTACGTTACATAACTCTATGAGCCCTGGCCCGGAGGCTGAGGGCTAGTGGGGTCTCTCTGATCTCTATACTCTGTACATAGGGCCCTCTAGTAGAGAGGGGCTGAGAGCCTGGGAGTCTGGGACTGGTGCAGTGGAGTCTGGTGATCTGGATTTGGGTCTCTGGGCTCTCTCATGATCTCATCTCTGGGCTCTATGCTCGGTCACTCGGAGTCGTAGAGACGGAGACCCGTACAATATAATTGTGCAGAAGTCTTTTTTTTTTAGTGAATACTGAACAACAACTAAAAGTAAAAACTGTATTTATTTATTTATTGTTTAGAAATGAAAATAACATGGCACTACTGACTACCAATATGAATATCATGGCTTTAAAAATAATGACTAAATATGTATGTATACAACTCCTTCTTCTTTTTTTTAAGTATGAGTACATAACTGTTATTTTTACAAAAACAAATGCATAAGTGTTGTAGTTGTTTAAAAAGTAGCCATTGAAGATTGAGGATAGCCTTCAGTTTTAGTACAGGCCAATGTGTGTTGATCAGTGTATCCTAGCATATTCAAATTCCAAGATATCTTGTTTTAATATTTATATTGCTTCATGAGTATCCCAGCAGCTGAACCGTGCCATCTAAAAAAAATTGTTGAAAAATGTTTTTTAAAAACGATCAACCCCCCCAAGCTATAGTATGGATCGTGACGTGGACTGTGGACATCGTCATGTTGACTGTCATGACACTTTTTTTCTATCACCGACCCGAGGGCCATAGGCCATAGCCTCCTATGTTCTTTTTAGGAGGCTATGAGTCTATGACCGACCAAGCATATATATTTTGAACTTGTGACCTGTCTCTCTCGCTCTACGATGAATTTGATATCTCAAAGTCATATTAGTCTTGAAAGTGCCTTGAAAGTTCAAGCTTGCTCCATTGCAACTTGGCATTGATTATACGATAGTTATTCCTATCTGAAGTATACAGCACTAAAAAAAGGCAACGCTGATTATTGCCTGTTCTTTGGCACAAAGAATTTGGTCAAGTGATACGAATCTATTCACTTGATTTCGATTGCCAAAATTATGAGGACTCAAAAGGGTATTGTGATCCTGAACATCGCTGCATGACCTTTATTTGACTTTCCAAGTTATACCATGTTTTGAGAAGAGCAACTACATATCAACATTGAGCGAAGATTCTATCTATGTTTGTTCTGTCCAGCCACAAACCAGCATTAGTGCGAGACCGGCATCATACCCGTCAAAGTGAAGCTGTGCGCTTCATCCATTCTCCATCTCCTAGCGGTATCAGGATTTAACATATTTGTCAATAACACCCTGGCTCGATACGGAAGGGCACGCCAAGTGGGCGAGTATCCAAGACAGCCTCTCTCTGCCCATGCGACGTAAAGCGGGTCATTCAGAGCAGCTACCCGCCAAGGGAAACATGCTGTTAGCGCACAGTAGATTGTGACTCCAAGGGCAAAGACGTCACACTTTTTCAGGTCCAATTGGCTATCCGCCGGACTTTCTACATCTACGCGTTTCTGGAATATCTCATCGACGAGTTCAGGCGACATGTAGTGCATTGTGCCGGCTCTCGGATTGAAGTATGCAGGATTGATATCTTTCAATACTAATGCTTCGCCAAAATCGAGCACGCGTATACCGCCGTCCTTGGTGGCCAAACATACATTGTCTGCCTTAATATCTCTATGTACAATGCCAAGCTCATGGATACGACTGAAAGCGCCGGTCAATTGCGCTATCATTGGTTTAAAGTATTCAAAAGTATAGCCTGACTCTGTCTTAACTATCAAGTCCACTAAGCTCCCACCAGTACATAACTCCATGACCAAATAGATGTCGTTGTCAGCATCTTCAATAATTAGGTCATATGCTGTCACCACATGCTCTAATTCACTCAGCTGCTGTAAAACCTCGTATTCATGTTGCATTTGCAGCTGATTTGCGTTATAATCTCCTCTTTTCAGAGCTACTCGTCTGCCTGTCGCACTCTCCATAGCAGCATATACAGCGCATGTCGAGCCCTCTACCAGTCTACTCTGTTCGACATAAAGTGGCCCTTCTAATGAGTCTGCAGATTCAACTACCAATGGCGACGATTTGAATGAATTTCGATTGCCTCGAATGGACAGACATGATGCAATTTGTTCTTCTTCAACTGTGTATTCCGAGACAACTCTGCCTTTCTTCGCCGATTTCCCGGACAATGTCAACTTCCGCATCTTCCGGACTAAACGTTTTGAACGCGGACTCCAATTCGGAATCGTCAGGCCTAGACTCCCTACAAGGGTTGTTTTTCTTGTCATGATGTGTATGATTATTTCTACTGAGGACAAGAAGTGAAGGCAAATGGAACGAACTAACACTCTTTATCTCCTTTAGCATGAGAACTTGGATGGTTTAGTGATGAGCAGCTGTGGCAAGTTTGTATGCACGTTTGTCTTCTCAGCCAATAGAAATTATGCTAACCAACGACGCTCCACAGTGAACAAGGACAAGATTGGTAAAATCAAAATCATGCACTTTGTTGATTGTTTTGCTTTGTTTTGTTTTCAATATTGTTTTACAACCTTAAAGCAAATAGTTTTTAGTTGTTAAAAAAATGAGCACTTCTTTAGCCATAAAGCACCTTTGCGTTTCCGGTTTCCCGAATTCCCAGACTTTTTATTTCCTTTATTGATAAATAATCAATTTTCAGTGAATTTTGAATGGAAACAATCGTGCATTCTACTTGTAGCCAATAAAACAATAGTGTTTACAAAATGTACAATTGTAGAATGTTTAAATGGTCAACTATGGAGGCTCTGGAGCATTTGTAATCTGAGATACTGGTCTGGTAAACGACATCTACAGTCACCTATAAAAATTAAGGCCATAAATACCAGTAGATCGATACTACTTACACTGTATAAAACTGAACTGGTTTCCGACACGGTTGTTGTCTTTTACTTTTACATGTGAGACATATATTGTTCAACTAAACATGTTCGATCCGTTTGAAGCTCTATATTTCCGAAATGGCAGTTTGATTTCCGACACGCCGAAAATGTACTGTATTTTATTATTTTAAATCTATAGCCTATATTTATGTTCCTCCAATATTTCGAGTCTTGAACTGAAATATCAGAATTGAGAATTTAGATAAGAAAAAAAGTAAGAAAGTGCCGCGACAGGAACAACCACAGAAAATTCAAGAACTATGTCGTAATATACTAATGTCGTTTACCAGGACAGTGGTCTGAAATATTTAATACATAAAATGATATAGATAAAATATTTTCCATAGATCATTTCAATCTTTCAAAGAATAATTACTCAAGTCTGTGATTTGTTAGAAGTGTCTTACTTAAAACTCTCAGAGCGACCCTGGGCATTACTTTAAAAAATATATCTACCGAACCCAGTCTCAGTCAAATGAGTGACCAGTGTTGGTTAATAAAAATACAACTGTTGAACTGTTGCTATGAAAGTCGTACTCATTCGAGGCATTTTTTTACTGTTCCCACTCACAGTCTGATGAACTCTAAACTTCTGAAGTTCTGAACTCTGCAGGCTGAAGACTGATGACTGATGACTCGATGCGATATTCGTGTCATACCTATTATAGCTTACCGTCTCAGACCTGAGCTGCAGCAAGGGACAGGCGTCATGAACTTGTGATTCATAAATATACTCATAACTCGAGCACAACATCTTATCGTACCAATCAGAGGTGATGCCTTTCTCGCCCATGTGGCTTGAACAGAGGAGATCGTCATCGTATAAAATTGGCTAGAATGCATTTATAGCCCCCCGCCTGAAACAATAAACCATACTACATGACCTAGGAAAGAGAATATGAAATTTCATAGCAGTATTGCTTTCGAACCTGGTTTCGCTGTTCAAATTTGTCGACATCAGCTAAATCGAGATTTGGCACTAAAGCACTTCCAGCGTCTCATTTCCCCTTCTAGACAGTCGGTCTGAGCTTGGTACACCTCGTAGTACAGGCTCATCTAGGAATGAAGAGAGATGGAGGACGTGTATGATGGCGAAAGAAAAAAATGCTATCTGTTCAGTTTAGGTTGGGACAATAAACGCTGTCGTCTACACACCACACTGTAGTGTTGGCCGACAAGTACATTCTGTAAATGTCACAAACGACAATATATCAATACTAGCTCCATTTATACCAGCTCCATTTATACCAGCTCCATTTCGAAATCCAACGTGATTTGGCATCATAGCTTAACACAATACGGTAAATCCTGTCTACTTTAAGGAGTCATTTGCGCTTTTGTACTCTTAGTATAATGGTCTTGACAGTCACCTATAATACTTAAAATAGACATAGTCTACAAAAATACTCAATCATGGGCAGGGTCAACTTTATGTGTAGTAACTTTAGGCTCGTTCTACTCCAGCCGCAGGGAGCATGATGATGGTTTGACCATTAAGATATGAGGTGGTCTGGGATGAAAACAGGAGAGTTTCCTTGCGCAATTACGAATTATGTGCATTAAGAGATTCCGTTGTGTTCACCAACCGGGGCCCATGAATTCCCACATACGCGAACGAACACCGAATAACGACTCAAAAGATATAAGGTACCCATCGATCTTGTTGGTGCTCGGAAATCGATATATATAATGGAACTAGCTTATATCGAAAACAGCCATCTAAGTAGAACCGATGAGTATCACGATTGACCCTCCTTGATTTAATAGTATTCGCCTGCGCCTGGTGAGCTTCTCGCCGCTCGCATCGCACTCGATTCTATGGACTGATCCGCAGTAGTCAACTGCGCTGACCACGCACTTGAAGAACAAACTGAGACACGAATATTTAATAATATTGCATAATTACATAGGATACGCACTCTACTCGTATTTTGCCATACCTTGAGATTAAGTAGTATAGTCACACACCGACCTATAGGAAAACTGCTAGCAAGAGACGCATCATAGATAATATAGAAGGTATATATAGCTGATTCAAGCGAGAAGCACGAGTAATGTTGTCATATGTTTATGTAGCACAGATATGGGCATCCTACGGCATCATCGGTATAAACGAGATACGAGTATTGCCAACGTGAAAGCACCTTACACGTAGATAGGGCAATGCGCATAGCATTCTCAATTCAAGATCTCCTTTCGTTGATTGGATCCCCGGATCAGCCGCAGTTGAGAATTCATGCCAACAGGTTGTTCCTTGTAGAAAACTATATTTCTAAAAGAACATATTAGAGAAGTTCTCCTATGTTGCCATGACGTCAGTAATATCGAACTCACAATGCCACAAGACTCCCCAGAACTTGTGTTTACAATCACATCTCATGTACTGCCTCTAGCAGCCATGGAAATCTGCAGCCGCTTGTTCAAATGTACTGTCAGTGATGGATGCGCGGATGCTCTCGAAGAATACCCAATAGTGGTGCATGTTGTGCCTGAGTGGTAAGTCGGAGGGAAATTCGTATAGACTAATATCAGATTAAAGTATGTATATTGATGGTCTTAAACATGCTCTGAAGAGGTTTTTGATCAGCATATATACATTATAGCAACTGGAATATGAGTGTACACATTGATAGTACGATACGAACGACGCCAAACAATGGTATGTCCAGTATATAGCGACCTATTGTTATTTTCGGACCACAAAGAAAGTAAAAATGGTTATTGACATTTTTCACAAGACTTCGTTCAAATTCCTCTTGCATTTAAATATATATAAACGCTCACAACGCACAAGCACACATGCCGATAGCACCAACGATCCTCCACATATGCCTTCGCTAGTTCTACATACGCGTTTATACGGGTGGATACATTCACGTCAAGTACTTACATCATTAGCAGGACCTGGGCTAACATCTCGTGCGTTAGAAGAAGATGGTGCAGATAGGATCTCCTACAGGAAACGTAAACAAGTCATAAACCGATGGACAAGAGAATGAGAAGATTTATGGCATTGACTTTGTTGAACCAAAGAGATGTTGAATCAATAGGGAAACTCCGATAAAGTCATGCTGACAGGTGTCTTGAGAACCTGGTTGCACTCGACATGGGCATTCGAGCAAATGTTACTGAAGATCAATGTGTAATAAACCATTGGAAAGAAGTGATAACCCATTGGAATGAAGTGATAACCCATTGGAAAGAAGTGATAACCCATTGGGAAGAAGTAATAAACCATTGGAAAAAAGTGATAAACCATTGGAAAGAAGTGATAAACTATTTAAAGGAGGTTCAAGACGCAAAGAACCACGCAAGTCATGCAATCGAAGCAGGCCGAAAGTAGATTCGTGGGTTGGTTGAATAACACGAAGATCCAGGTGAAGCTGCATAAACACATACATGCACTTCGACCATAAATAAAGACCAGATAGAGACACATACGTGTGGTGCTGACAGGCAAAGCATTTGCAACCAGGCAGCAGTGGCGTGTGGTCGTTGCTGAAGACACTGTCGTACAACGACAGTGGTCGAGTTCTGTCTGTGCCCTCTGCCGGGTGTGGCTCCATCCCTGAGACCAAAAAGCCGAACGAAAGGTGCAATCGAAGACAGAAGTATGAGTGGAATACTAGGCCAGTCAGAATTAGCTTGATCCTCACGTAAACGACACTACAATATATAAACCCGTACGAGGCTGATAGCTGAGAACAGCTTGAGCCTTCAACAAAAGGTGGTTGCATATCCAGGCAAATACAGGGGAATCTAGATGCAATTGGTTAGAGATTTCACAGAAAGCCGACTCTATTTTGATACTTGACAATATATGAGCTAGCATTGAAGTCAGAATCTTAAGCGTTTCAATATATGCGATGTTTGTATAGAACTCGTAAGCCGATACAAGCATGAGCATAGCAAAGAACATATGACGTTTGTACAGCTGGTGTGGTAAACGTGGTGTACTACGGGGTCAAGGCATACAAAACTGTTTACTGTTTCTTTCGTTCTATTACAGAACGTCTTCCGGTTGAGTTCGTTGTGTGGATGCAACGTATGAGTGGCACTTGCGTAGACAGTTGTGCGAAATGTGAGCTCTGATACCGTACACGTCCTCAGTGTTCACTTGTGCGTGGGTCTCGGCGCTAACAAGTGCCGAGAAGACTTGACATAGACCACTCTCTGATAACTATAAACAGAACACTAAATGTGCCATGACCAATAGGTCAATAGTAGCAACGGTGGCAGGATCTCGAAGTGTTTGTGTGAAACCACCAGCAATCAATTGCTCGACTGTATTTAAAAATACTCGGATTGTGCCGAATAAAAGAACCGACAGGCTGATGCGACCCCCAGGTTGTGCTTGCCCACCAGCTACTCAGAAGCACTACAAACACGACTTACATGAACAGGCACCAACAAACTACTAAATACACGTTGCACCGGATACGAACAAGCTACTATATACACGTTGCACCGGAAACGAACAAGCTACTATATACACGTTGCACCGGATACGAACAAGCTACTATATACACGTTGCACCGGATACGAACAAGCTATTATATACACGTTGCACCGGATACGAACAAGCTACTATATACACGGAGCTACTATATACACGTTGCACCAGATACGAA